AGATGAGGAACAGCTGACCCTCCTAAAACAAAGACCTCTACATCCACCAGAAGGGCAAGTAGTGGGGAATGGCTGGGAGTGCCGACAACACAGCAGACAGTTGCGGGGATATCAGAGTATAAGGGAGTCGGGGGAGGGAGATCTATGGGAGGGTGTACCTGGGAAGTGGGTGTATAAATTTTTTAAAAAAAGAAGAAAATAATTCTTCAAAGCATAAAAATTTACTTATTAATAATTAGTAGATGTGTAAAACATTACCATTGAAATCTACCTGATGACTTTATATCCATGCTCAGATGCCAAGGAGCTCAGAAAGTAACTGTGGAAGAGCAGCTGGTGTTCTTAACAGCTGAACCATCTCTCCAGGCCCAGGAAAGTTACTGTTTTTAAATAAATAAGATTATATATAGAGGGATTAGAAATGCATGTGCAAACATCTTAGTGTCAATTGCATTAAAAATGAATTTTTTTCTGTATGAAACTGTATTTTAATAATGAAATGGAGATTTTTAAAAAGTTAAAAACTCATTCAATTTTATGTCTTATAGGGTTTAGACAGAATACAATATTGTGTAACTGTATTAATTCAACTATATCTAAAAATTTATAGCCAATTTTGAAAGAGATGCATCTTAGCTCTAGCAATTGTTATTGAATATGTCAATACTGTTGTAATGAAATGCTGCTTCTAATTATATGGTTCTTAAATAAATAATTTTAAAAAATTTTTTGATTGGTTGATTTTTATTTTATGAGTATGAATTTTATGCCTCCATATGTGTAAGTGCAACTGTGTCTTGCAGTGCCCACAGACGACAGAAGAAATGTCAGATCCCCTGGAATTGGAATTAAACTATAGATAAAGTAAAACAGATTACAAAGTTATTGATGCTTTCTTTATATTCTGAGAAATGTGAAATTACGTATTTTCCCATAATTTTTTTCTACGTTCCTTTAGGATTTGCTTTCTCATATGCTTCATGTGGACCCTCATCAGCGATATACTACTGAACAAATATTAAAGCATTCTTGGATAACCCACAGAGACCAGTTACCGAATGATCAGCCAAAGAGAAATGATGCACCACACGTTGTTACGGTAAAATAAAAATACACTGAATGTGTAATAAATGTATCGTGTCATTCACTGTGATTCTTAAATAGTTATTTCAAATATCTTTATTTTCTGAAGGTAGATTTTTAAATTTTCTTTTTTTAAACATTTATGTACTATTCTTAACTATTTTTTTACTACTTTTTCTGATAAAAGTATCTTTTTAGCTTACATTACCTTTCCAAAATAATGATTTTGATGGTAACGTGCTCTTACATCCAAATGCTGTGTTTTGATCTTAGTCAATACCTCTGGGATGACCTACCGTTCCTTTCTCCCACTACCCTCACCTTGTTCTACACCCACACCAGTAATATTCCTCATGGTCATTTTAACATCTAGATTCTGTAATATGAGAGAAAACGTGCAGTATTTATTTTGGGATTCTAGACTATTTTGCTTCACATGACTATTTCCTGTTCTTTACATTTTCTTGCAAATGAAAAAATTTTGCTCTTTATGGCTTAATAAAACTTCATTTTGAATATATTCTATTTTTTTCTTTACCCATCCATTCATTGATGAACAGTTTGACTCATTCTGTAACTTTTGTCTTGGGAACAGAGCTGTAGGGGATCATTCAAGCCACTTGGGCACTTTTAATGGATATTTGTCTCATGATATATTTTTAAAGGCTTTTTTCCCTCCAGAGATTGTTGCTGAACTTGTAATATTTTGTCACTATTTTAGGGAGCAGTGGTTGCAACATACTCCGCCTTGACTCCTAAGACTTTCCAACCAATCCTAGAGCCTGTTGCTGCTTCGAGTTTAGCTCAACGACGTAGCATGAAAAAGCGAACATCCACTGGCTTGTAAAATTTGTGGTGTTCCTGAGCTCACTGGATGAAGACAAAATTAAATGTGTGGAGTGGTGGCTTTATCTAATCTTGTATCAAAGGCAATTTTTTCTGCTAAATTACTTGAATATTCTATCTAAACCTCTCTTTTTGGGGGGTGAAATTTAAAAAGAACATACATAGGTCCATAATATTCATACTACGTTGTTTTGCAGTAGTGTCCAAATGTTTAAATATATAATTTGATGTCCACAAGGTCTTCACAACTTCCCTGCACATAAACTTCCAAAATTCCTTTCAAATAAAGTTACTCCTAGTTTTTCTTATTTTACAGGAAGAAAAATGTTTTAAGGAATCATTAAAACTAATCAAGATGCTTATAATATGTTATAATGTTAAGCAATGTCAGTATTTTTAACATCATATCCTGAGGAATAAGTTTTTACATAAAAGAAAAACAGAAAAGTATTCTAGAATCTAGTTGTGCACAGCCAAAGGACCCCATTCAATTGAGACTCTTTAGTTACTAAGATGTAGTCGTAGTAATTTGATGCCAGAGCAAAATTAATTCGTGCTAATAAATGAACTCCTGAAATGGTTGGTGCCAAAGTTTTGTTAGAAATCACTAATAATGTGTGCAGACAGATTTGTATATTATCCATAAGTGGCTTCATCTAGAGAAAATTCACATAAGGCTTCTAACATTTTGCATCTAATGGAATTGTAGTACAGGTCAAGAATTTTTTATCCAAAGGTTTTATGTTGGTGTTGTAATATTCTAAATAGGTCATAGTTAAGCCTTTGAAAATAAAGTACTTGGTGTTGATGCTTGGTGTTCTATAAGCTGACTTTGATGTTTACTAATTGGATATAATCATCGTCTATCCCCTTTAAAAGTGGAGCTACACTATTGTATTTCTGATTTCTATGTGATTTGGGCTACAGTGTAGCATTCTGATCTACCTGAATCCTATGGTGATGTAGTTGAAGTTTTACATAGTGGACTTGTGCACTTAGCACATATGATTTAGCATAATGTATCTCAATAAACTTTAGACTATATTATATAATAGTTATACTTCAAGAAGGTAATCTAACATTTTAAATAGAAAATCATATTAGATTAGTGATCTACACAAAGAGTTGAGCACATTTAAAAATCATATTTATATTAAACTGGCCAAATTGGTCTTATTAAGCTCATGATTCAGAACCACTGTGTAGTATGTATTCTTTCCTTTAAATGCTGAAATTTTTAGAAATCATTTTTTGTTCTTGAGGAGAATACCATTATCTGCTACTACTGACAAAAATAATTCATGAATGTAAACTGGAGGTTATCAGTTCGGTTAAGTGAGTAGACATGAATTACTTGTGTGTAGTAGGGTGTGCTGTTTGCTGTGTGTTTTACTTTGCTTAGTTCAGAGAGAATTGATTACTGAGTATATGATTTAGGCTAGGAGACATGTAATATTGGTATTTAATAAAACAAATTATTCATATTCTCATCGTAACATAAGTGATCTCTACCCTATGCACAAA